CTGGGAAATAGCGGAACACTACAAAGTGAGAAAATGGCACTTTGCCTGCACATCGCCAGCAAAAAATCTGTGCAACTACAACTAATACCATTTTCCAGGCCAATGGAGGGGACATGAAGACTGGCTACTTGTCAATCATCATGGATCCTGATGAAATCCCTATAGACGAGCACTGCGAACGGCTCCCATATGATGCCAGCAAGTGGGAGTTTCCCAGAGACCGGCTAAAGCTAGGTGTGTCTTCATTGCGTGAGCCATTTAGCGACGCTGCAGCCAGCCCGGTGCTGGGGGGTGTTTCAGGTCCTGGCTTGCCTCGGGGCTGCCCTGATGCAGGACCCCTGGGTGGGCTCTCTGGTCCCATAGGATATAATGCATCCTCTCCCCATTATCAGCCTGCTGTTAATTTCTGAAACATAAATTCGGTTTAGAGTTGCTTTTTATTCTGCATCTTTTGCCCGCTGTGCCAGGCAAATAAACTGGAATATATTCACCTTCTCACTTCAAGGTAAACCTCTTGGGCGTGGAGCTTTTGGCCAGGTCATAGAAGCGGACGCATTCGGGATCGACAAAACGGCTACCTGCAAAACAGTGGCAGTCAAAATGCTTAAAGGTAAAAATGATGACTAAAACCTCACCTTGAATACACAGTATAGGGTTAATTGCCAGTACTATAACCATCAGATAGAAAAAAACATCAAAATGTTTGTACGGTATATACAAGTTTAGCTTAACAGTTGGTGTCATGAAGCAATGATTAGGGAAAGTACCTCTACCTCATCGATACCTGGAGCAATGCATGGTTTCTTAGCCACCACTTCATAGATACTCTGGTTCAGAACATAAGCTTGCTCCTGCAAGCAATTTGCACGTGTCCGTGTTTGCCTTATGCAGCCCACTAGGGAGCTTTCTGCAAGTCCCAGGCAATGGCTTAGGCACGCTCCAAAACGAGTAGTAGTTTTGAACAGCTTTCTCCTCACTTTAAATCATATTATAGTGCCTCGCCTTTGCCACAAGGAAGTTGGAAGCTGCGGTTCCCAGACACTGTTCCTGAGGAGAATGTAGCTGGGGCAGGAAAATGGGGCCGCCCGTGGCTGTGGGCAGTATCCCACCCTGTGGTGTACTGAAGGAAGGGTGGAAAAGCTGGGGGACGTCTGTCAGTCCGGTCCGAGCCGTCACAAGCATGGGCAAGACCTGTGGCACCCTCGTTGCAATGGGATGAGCATGCAGTAACGGCAATAAAAATTAGGAAACCCTGCCTCTCCAGCTTCCCAGTGCTCTGGCAGAGCAGGAGCTCCAGACAGCTGCCTCCTTTGCCCCCACTTCTTCTTTCCTCTTCCCCTTCTGTCCCTGCGGGGTGAGGACACCAGTCATGCCTCCAGGCTTTTGATGAGGCTGCAGGGTCAGGCATGTTTGGCCCTGGCCCTATCTCCCCCAGCCCGTGGACCCGTTGGGCCCTTAGCATGGACCCCAACAACAGCTATGGGACAATGTTTCCAGCTCTTCTTGGCTGGGAGGGTCAAACAGGAGAGTACAAACTGCTCAAAAGGTCTGTAAGAAAAAAGATGTTTGCTAATCTGGATTGTTTCTGTCCCTGTTCTGATGTACTTCCCTTGGTGAACTTTGGAAAATGTTTAAAAGCAAAGCAAAACCAACCTTGGCATGCATGTGTTAGCTTTCATCAGTGTCCTGCAGCATAGCTGACCCAGGCTACCAACAAACAAGACTTCTCATGAGATGGGCTGGAAAAATAACAGAAGGGAATGCAGAGGAGGGGAAAACTTCTCTGTCTGTGATGCTCCTGATCTGTGTTGTTTTACCTCTGCAGAGGGTGCAACCCATAGTGAGCACAGAGCACTTATGTCGGAGCTGAAGATCCTCATTCATATTGGCCATCATCTCAACGTTGTCAATTTACTTGGAGCCTGCACTAAACCAGGAGGTGAGTAATTTCTCAGTGGGAAGGTGCTAATGAAAACCCTGTTTCTGTCACTTCTGCTGCAGAAAAATTAAGGGTTGGGAGAAATTGTCATCTTTTAAAAAAAAATAAAAATCTGATAAGAATGAGCAGGTCCAGAGGTGGGATAAGAGCTCAGAAGCCCTGAGTGCTATATCCAGCTCCATCCCTTTGTGGTTCTGTCACTCTGCTTTTCTGTACCTCAGATCCGCTTTTATAGTGGACACTCAACGTGTAACAGACTTTGGGTCTGAGTCTAGTACCAGATTTCATGAATTGGTCTTGTTCTTGTCACCGGCTACAGGGCAACTGCAAGTTGTGACTTCCCTCCCTGGCTTTGGATGGGCTGTGGGTGCCTCTGTGTGTGTGTGTGGGAGGCGGGGTTGCAATCTGGAGTCCAGCTCTGGGTGGATGAACCTATTTTATTTTATAATCAGGGACAGATGTTTCATTTAAGAAATCCAGCACTGCACACTAATTTGGAAGAAATTCAGTGTAAAGTCAGTCAGTAATAATTTTTCAGGGAAGCTGACTTGTTGGCTTACTGTGGGATCAGAATTTAATTATTAAAGTTCCATGACAGAAGTGCAGTAGTTGAGGGAAACATAATCTGTAATTTTTTTTTCCTTATTTATTCCATAATAAAAGAGATATGGCCAGTATCTGGAATCTAGGATGGAAATGTATCGTTGTAGCCTATGCCCATATGAAGCAATTTGATCATGAAATAACACATTTGGACTATACGTTAAGGCATCTGTGTCTGAAACCAAGATTCTTGTTTTAAGTTTTTGGGACTTAAACTGCCTGCACAAACATGCATGGATAACTGTGTGTGTATTTTACTGCAGATGAGTGGTTAATTCTGCTGAAGTTCACTCAAATATGTATGTCGCATCCTTACAATGTCCGTTAGCATGGGCAGTTATTGGCACTTTAAGTATAAGCACATTACTACGTATTTTCACATAAAAAAATGTGATTTTCAAAAGCATGTGCTTTCTTTTCCTTCCTTATACAGCAGAAAAGGCATAATTTCCCTGCTTTGATTAGATTTTTTTTTTTTAATTACTGATAGTTTTAAAAACTTCTGGGTAGTAGAATGCTTTTTGAAATGTATGTATTTCTAGCCACAAATTATGCTGTGAGATAAGGTGGGATATAAATGGTCTTTCTAAGGAATGGCTTTATGTGTTACATAGGACCACTCATGGTGATCGTGGAATATTGCAAGTTTGGAAATCTATCAGCTTACCTACGGAGCAAGAGGAGTGAATTTGTCCCATACAAGGTAAGGAGTCAAGGTTAACGGCATAATGTTTGATTTGGTGGGGTTTTTCCACACACGATATTTCTGTTTCTAGCGCCGACTGTAGTGGCAGTCCCTGGGGATGCCGAATATCTAGTACTTCTCATGGGAATGAGAGATGGCAAAGACATCAGAGGTCATCTAGTCTTTCCCCTGGCCCCTGCAATGTAGCTATTTTGTTATTGTTAGCTTAAAATGTGCAAAGGAACTGGGCTTCCAGTATTTCCCTTGGCAGATTATTCTACACTTGGCCCTATCTGTCAGGAAGCTTTTTCTGATTATCAGCCTGAATTTTTTCCTTTCTTACTTGAGCTCCAGACCACCTTAAATAACTACACTCCCTGCTTAATGTATATATCCATCAGATATCCATAGGTATCTTCTACCACGTGATTATCCTTTCCACTGTCCCCTTGGCTCATTGCTGAAGCAGGCTATACTTTTTTTTTTTTGTTAATCATTTTGTGTAATTGATGTATCTCATGAGTTTACGTTCAGCTTTTCACCTCCCAAGCCCTTTGCAAAGGGGAGCTGCCATCGCAGCACCCCCTCTTTGCCCCCCAGTTTGAAATGAGGGGGAGGATGGAGGTTGGCATTTTCAAACTCATTTCTGCAAAAGGGGGTCTGATTTCTGGAGAGGGTTGGGAAGGTCCATCCCCTTCAGGGTCAAACACTGGATGAAGAGCGTGGGCATCATGCTTGGGACCCTACCCTTTTTCACCCACAGCTGGGAAGGAGGCCCCCGGGCTGTGCTCCGCCGTGCTGGTAGACCTGAGCTTCAGCCTTCCTGCAGCTGCCCTGTTTAGATAAGAGCTTCTTCAAACTTGTTGCTTCTCCAGGGGGTTATTTTTCTTTATCCTTGGAGTCGTTGTTTACTATTTTATGTTGGCACAGGCAGCTCGCTGCATCCTCTTGTGAGGTAAAAAGGATAAACAAATATCTGAGAGGCCTTGAAGGAAGAGGCAGGGTTTCACAAGGGTGCTGACCCTTGCTTACACAAGCGGTGGGGATGGGAATCATCAATGGAAAAAAACAGCCCTGCTAGGGGAGAAAAGTCACCAAACTGAAGCAGGAGGAAATGGAAACGTGGTGGAGAAAGCCTTCGGGGCTGGCATCCTCCTTAGAGGTGTTCAGTGGCTTAGGGGAAGAAGGAGATAAATCAAATTTTGAGGGCCACTAGGGTTTTGGCCAAGGTAGACGTTTAGCAGAAGGGTCTTTGCAGCAGCGGGAGGTAAAGCTGTAGTGGTATGGAGAGGCTGGAGAATATGAGAGGGGGTTCGGCAGTATCCACACATGCTTCTCAAGTGGTGGGCACCAGGGGACTGAGAAGGCCAGCTCCTGAGTGTGGATTTCTTCTGAAGTGTGTGGAGATGGTGCTGGGGGGAAGCTGGGAGGACATGGGAGCAGGCTGAAGCCGTGCTGTGGAGTGGCAAGGGGTGCTCAAGCCGGTGAGCCCACGTGGCCATGGGTTGGGGTTTGCGGGCGCTGACACCACGCCAGCCTGGAGCTCCAACCAGAGCTGGCTTGGAGACTAGTGGCGAGCCATGCCGCTGCTGGGCTGCCCTCCCTGCCTTCAGGGGTGCCCGTGGCACAGACCGTGGGGAGTGCCATTGCCTCTCCCGAGGAAGCTTCTGGCACGCTTTCTGCTTCTGATTTCTCCCACCCTCCCCTCCCATTTCTAGACCAAAAGTGCCAGGTTTCGTCAGGGGAAGGAGAACTATGTTGGTGACATCTCCGCAGACCTGAAGCGACGGTTGGACAGCATCACGAGCAGCCAGAGCTCAGCAAGCTCCGGCTTTGTGGAGGAGCGGTCCCTGAGTGACGTGGAAGAGGAGGACGGTACGATATGTCTTCCCCTGATGCTGCAATAGCTGTCGTTGGCAGGGGGTATAAGGGGCATGGGGGACGGAGCGATTTGCAAAGCTCCCTCAAAGCTGTGTGCAGGGTATTTCCCGGATGACCAAAGTTCCCGAGCTATGGATCATCTAATTCAGCATCCCAAACCCCTCAGCCCAATCCCAGGTAATGTCCCATCTGAAAAGGGTGCATTTTTAGTGCACTGCCTTTTGGAGATCTGCCTGTTATCATCAAATCCCATCTGCTTCACTGCTTTTTAGCAGAGTTGATTTGCCTTCCCTCTGCGCAGGTGGTCTGTCAGGAACAGGAAACCTGAATTATCCGCTCATTCAAAGCCTCCCGTGGATATACGTACCCTCTGCAGCGGTTTCACTGATGTGTTTGCCGTGTTCTCCTTTGGCAGAGACAGCACACAGTGTTGCCCAACATGTTTCAGAGACTGCTGATTTCAGCAAGTGGTGGGATCAGACTGGTCAGGAGGGAGGCCATAGCTCAACTGCCTGTACCTCGACTTCTACTAAAAATCATTTAATGCAAAGAAAAGCGTCAGTATGTTAACAGGGAAAATGATCTTACGGTTTCAATGTGATCCTAATGGGTAATGTCAGGCATGCACTTTATGCATTTCCACACCATTTTGGTCCTTTTCAGACCTCTCTGGTGTAACCACTGACCCTCTGAGCTGGGATGTTGTAGTGAAGCATGTAGACCTAAAGCAGGCCTTGAGGTGAGGGTTGTAGCAACCAGTGTTGTAGTTCTTGGTAATTTTTTTCTTAAAATCAAGAGCTGAGCAAAGACATCAAGTTGTTCATTTCATCAGGAACTAAATGCCTAGGAATCTTTGCTGGATACTTGAGTACATAATTCCTCCAGGTCACTAGAGGATGAAGTTAGGCTTATACTACCCTAAATTAGCGGAGCTTTTTGCCAAACTCAAGTTCTCCCCATGGCATATTCTTCCCCTGTAAGGACTAGGTGGGGCCTCCCTCTCATCGGTTTCCAAATCCATCTGCTGAAACCACAGCGAGCCTTTCCTGTCCTAGGAACTTGTGAGCTGGGTTTTGGTTGTTTTTCTTTTGAGATTGTTTAGCAAATCTTTCCTCTGGTGGGTACTCTGGAAATAAGCAAGGAGACCTGGAGTATAACCCATTATCTCGAAGTTTCTTTTACACAGGACTAGTTTTGTGTGAAATGGGTTGTTAGTGATAATCATACAGCAAAAAAAAGGGCTCAGATTGCTCTTCTAGTTCAATGTGGCATAAGGTTAAGATGGGCATTTACCTAAGAAGCAGTTGTGGGTGAAATCAGTGACAAAGGACATATTTGACTGTCGTCTGATCCTTTGCAGCTGGTCCTGAAGACCTTTGCAAGAACCCTTTGACCATGGAGGACCTCATCTGTTATAGCTTCCAGGTGGCGAGGGGAATGGAGTTCTTGGCTTCACGCAAAGTAAGGAACTTCTCAGGAAGAGTGGCATGTTATTTATTTGACTGTGGGAAATAGTGCTGTAGGTCTATAGAAGGAAATGGCATGTTCATCTTTGGACTAGCAGTCATCCGCAACACTTTTCTTTTTGCCCCAAGACATACCCGAATCTTTAATACTACAGAGTGAAACAGCTCATGCATTTATTGACACAAATGTTGGTGATCTGTATAAGTTTGTGGGTCACCGATTCATAGAATGATTAAGTAGTTGGAGGAGGGGGCTTGACTTATGAGGACGATTAAAGGAATTAGGGACAAATCCCTGGTAGCCGTAGCTAGAGTAAAGGAGTTTGCTCTGAGGAGGTTGCCTGTAACTTGTGCAGTGGGATTGGAAGGGCAGTGTGAGGAGAGCTAATGCTCACCTATGAAACTTCATGGATGACTCCTTGGGGAGTCTCTTGCCAAAGACACCCTAGCAGTCAATAGCAACTCACCTGGATTTTGGCCTTCTGTAAGTGCTTTTCTGTGGTTTGATCCTAAATACATGTAGTACATGTTTCAAAGGATGTAAATTCCAGCAAGAGAGAGGAATTGCCTGCAGTTGTATAGGAACAAAAAGTACTTAGAAAAGGGAAAAGGAAATAGAAGCAAGGAATAGAACACTGCTCTCGAGGGCAGGCTCGGTGTTCGAGAGCAGACTTCAGAGTCTTTTCTGAAAACAGGTATTTGTCTACGTTTCATACGTCCTGGTTGGTGTGTATATGTAAAAATACGTCTTTCCAGGATCTTAATTTCTAGTCCATACTAGACTAGACTGCAACCACTTTCAGAGCGTGGCTTTTTTACTTCAAGCTATTGAAGCTTGAGTTTTGAAGTCTTTGGATTGTTGGCTAAGCTGTCATTCTGCATAGGTAAAGGCATAGACTTTTCTATCTGTAGTCAAGATTAGTTTGTGTTGGAAGCAAATCAGCGTTTTAGCATGGTATGTTTTTCAGGGAGAGAGTGGAGTACGGGGATTTCAGTGAGCCTAAGTAAATTTAAAGGTAATCAGATCTGAACCTGTTTTGTGTCAGCTTCTTAGGATAATTAATTAGCTAACTTCAAAAGCCCTCTCTGCATAGTGGATAAACAGATGTATGTTTGGACTTGGGAACACAAGTCTCCCTGAGCCAAATCAGTTGTGACCATCAAAAAAGCACTTAAAATCACTAACTGTTGATGCTGAGGTTTCTTTTTCTTAAAAGGTTTTAAGGATTATCTGGCCTTTGAGGGTAGGAGAGCACATATGTGAAAGAGATCAGCCCCGTGGACGGAGCTGTGACGACAGGCAGTGTATGAAGTTGTTTACTTCTCTTTGCAGTGCATCCACAGGGACCTGGCTGCTCGTAATATCCTCTTGTCAGACAATAATGTGGTCAAAATCTGTGATTTTGGCTTGGCTCGAGACATCTACAAAGATCCAGACTACGTCAGGAAAGGAGATGTAAGTTTCAGATTCTCTATTTGAGAGAGAATTAATATGAAGTCAAGACTCCCTTTTTTTTTTTTTTTTTTGCCTTAAATGGGTCTGTGGAAACTCAGTGTTTTGCTAAATTGTGATACCTTTTTGTTTACGGAAATGCTTTCAGGCCAGACTGCCCCTAAAATGGATGGCACCAGAAACCATTTTTGATAGAGTATATACCATTCAGAGTGATGTATGGTCCTTTGGAGTTCTGCTGTGGGAAATATTTTCATTAGGTGAGTCACGAATTTTACTGAGCCATCTTAAATTTTAAACAACGGAGTCTGAAGAAAACAGTCAAAATGTTCTTGGATCCTCTTTAACATTTGTTTTTACTTCTTGAAAATTTCCTGCTTATTCTCTCCATCAAAATAAAATACTTAAGTTTCCTTAAAAATGCAAATGTAGGAACATCGACTTGAAATGCTTCTTCATACAATTCCAGTACGTGATTATGTGCCTCATTTACTCAATCAGTTGCTGTTGCCATCATAAATATAAATTGTTTGCACATCCAAATATACTGAATTACCTTATTAACTTGGGCCATAGCAAATTATCTGTTTGAAAATTAATCCCAGAATTTAAGAATCTAATGCATTAGAATTACCATTGCTCTCATTTTAGGCGCGTCGCCGTACCCTGGAGTGAAAATTGATGAGGAATTTTGCAGAAGACTGAAAGAAGGGACAAGAATGAGAGCGCCAGACTACACAACACCAGAAATGTGAGAAACTGTTCTTCCAGCTGCCCACGTTTACTTCACAATAATAGCAGGTGCTTGAGCAAGCAGTAGGTGCTGTTTTCTTTATGTTGATATTTTAATGGGCTTTGTTCTTCTAGGTACCAAACAATGCTGGATTGCTGGCATGGAGATCCTAAGCAGAGACCGACTTTTTCAGAGCTGGTGGAGCACCTGGGGAACTTACTGCAAGCCAACGTCCGTCAGGTACATGAAATGTATTCTCTGGTTGCTAAAACGACCAGCTGAACCCTGCCTGTCCCGCCAGCCACCGTGAAATCGCACAGCCGGGTACTACCCGCTGGAGCCATCAGGGAGCCTGGGCTTCTTCCACCGCTCCCGTTACCGACCAGCAGTCGGGGCGACTTGCAGAGAAGAATGACTTAGGAGGGGAAAGATCGCAGAGGTCTGTTGTGGTAACCAAAAGCCACCTTGCCCTGCCGGCAAGGGCCTCCCGTGACACCACCGCTGTGGTTACTCAGCTGTCTTGCGGGGGAGTTGGTGGCACAGGCTCAACTCCCTGCTCTGCTGCAGAGCAGCTTGAATCTTTCGTTACCAGAGAATCATAGACCGGCTGAGGTTGGAAGGGACCTCTGGAGGTCATTGGCCCCAAACCCTCAAGCGCCTACAGCCGGTTGCCCAGGACCATGTCCAGATGGTTTTTTAATATCTCCAAGGATGGAAACTCCACAGCCTCCCTGGGCAACCTGTGCCAATGCTCAGTCACCCTCACAGTAAAAAAAAGTGTTTCCGTGTATGTTCAGGACATACTGTATGTATATTTGCCCATAACCTAATACGGTTGGATTACTAACGAGTTAGAGTCTCCTGTCATGAACTGTAGTCTTCTGTGACTATAAAAGGCAAACATGATTTACTGTCTGATAACTAATAGCTAATAGCACGTGTCATATTGTAGTCCAAAAGGGATAGATGCAAAAAAATTAGAGAGAAAGGGATAATCTACAAAATTATTTCTTATGGGACTATAAATAGGTATGCAGTATCGAAGGATGCGTAATCCTTTTTTTCACTTCATACTTTAGAGCAGAAATGTAAACAAGTGGAATAAATTTTTTAAAATGTTATTCTTTTTATTCACATCAAGTTAGATGCCAAAGTACTGACAGAAAACTTCCCTTTTTGCTATCTCCATTTAATTTTTTTTTTCATTTACTTCTTATACTTAATTTAGGCTTTATGATTCATATGCTGTAGTCCAACTCAATCTCACTTTCAGTTTAATGTTATTTTTTTTCCCTCAGGGTCATGTTCTTTGTGTCATTGCAATTCAAACATTACTCAAATTTAAATTTCTTATTTCAAAGACGTTAAGAGAAAGTTCAGTTTACACATTATGTTACAGTATGTCATATAAAAATCTCAAATTTCTTATTGAAAAGTATTTTTACTAAGTTTCTCCCTTTTTTGAAGCTGCTCCTGTGAGGGTGGTATAATGCTCATAGTTTAATAAAACAACAAAGGAAGCTCTGTTGGACTGATGCATTCTCCATGTACGTGTATGTAGCTGTTCATCTGTGTATCTCTTTAGCCTGATTTAATTTTTGTATTTTTTCACTGCATTTTACAGGATGGTAAAGACTACGTTGTCCTTCCTTTGTCAGTATCGCTGAATATGGAAGAGGATTCAGGTCTCTCTCTCCCAACTTCACCTGCTTCCTGTAGGGAGGAAGAGGAAGTCTGTGATCCTAAATTCCATTATGACAACACAGAAGGAAAT